AAACTGCTGATTTCCAGGCCCAAGTTTATTTAACGATGACTTCAGTGTCTAAATGTAAAAAGATTCTTTTTTTTTTCAAAATTTATCTGAGTCAATGTTTCAGTAATTGTCCTAATCTATTTTGCGTCCTGTTAACATGGAATGTTCTGCAAGGGAATATTTTTTTATTTTCATCAGACTTGTGCAATATTTATGTTCTTTTATTCTTGCCCCAAAGTGTTGTCCAGTTTCTCTGAAGTAGGTCTGTTTACAAGAGCGTAGTCTTTCATAAGTTAAGTTTTTGTGTTTATCGCCAGCTGCTCTTTGTTTTATTTTAACAAGGCTAGATCTAAGATCTTTTTGGCCACTCGTTTGACCTCCTAGTTTAGGTTTTGCATACACAGGAAGTAAATAGTTGGTCCTGTTTTTCTTGTCTGTTGTATCAGTTTGTCTTTTTTATGTCTTCAAACTATTGGTGATGAAACTTAAAGGGTATCCATTCTGTTTAAAATACTGATGTGTCGGTGTTTGTTTTATGGAATTTTCGTTACAGAAGTATGTTTTCTGCTCTGTTTAACAGAATGTGAATGATATAACTTGAAATATATCTATCAATATGAGTAGATTTCCTTTATATGATTCTAGTGAGTTTATCATTATTTCTGCTGATGATAATGTCCAGAAATTAAGGTGTCGTGAGAAAGCTAATAAGTTTTCAAGGCTATGGGGCCAGATAATAAAACGTAACATCTGAAAAATCTGGATTTCTTGTCGGTACAAAAGAAGACGTTCAAAATCTTCCATGAGAATGTTTGCTAAAACTAAAGAGAGAGTGTTGATCTCATGTCAGTGCTTTTTGTTTGTTCAAACAGATCATTGTTGTATTAAAAGAATGAGCATTGTAGACGAACTCTGGTTAGTTTCATTACATTGTCTGTTTTAACAAGAATACATAAGATTTGTTGATGAAGATACTTGTGAAAACTCCAGTATATATCCACGAATTGGAGATTTGCAAACGAACTCATTCATTGTCAAAGCTTCCAAATACACACACAAAATTGGACTCAACCACTTTCTAACCCTGCTGAGGAATAGAAAATGATCGTCGCATGCAGGAGTCCTATGTGATAGTTCCACTTTAAGTGTTAAAAAAGGATGTAAATTAAATGGGTAGTTATTTCTGTAAGAAACAAAATCTTTATCAAACAAAGCAAAACATGAACTATTGTAGATCAATTGAGGATAATAAAGAAGTACAGGAATATATATATATATATATATATATATATATAT